AATTATTATTGAGATTTTAGGACTAATAGTTTGAATTTGGGATTAGGAATAGCTAGCTAGTTTGAATTTAGAATTTTAGCACTAGTTATATTTTAGGATTTTAGGACTAGTTTGAAATTGTGATTTTAAGACTAGTTTGAATTTTGAATTTAGGACTAGTTTGAATTATACTTGAGATTTTAGGACTACTAATACTTTGAATTTGGAATTTTAGCACTAGTTTGATTTTTGAATTGTAGGAGTACTTTGAATTTGTGATTTTAAGACTAGTTTGAATTTGAAATTTAGGACTAGTTTGAATTATATTTGATATTTTAGGACTTGAATTTGGGACACTATCTAGCTAGTTTGAATTTGAAATTTTAGGGATTTGAATTACAACTTAATTAGAACTTATAATTAATTATAACTTGAATTTACTATAAATTGAACTTAATTAGGAATATGAACTTGAAATGTTGTTGACTTTAATTTATTAGAACTTAATTTTTATTCTTATTAGAACTTGGATTTTATTTGAACTTAATTAGAATTTTGTAGTACTTGAAAATCTTATTGACCTTAATTAATTAGAACTATATATAAATTAATTAGAACTATATTAAACTTAATTAATTTATAATAACTTGAAAACTTAATTAGAAATTAATATAAACTTAATTTTGATCAACTAATTAACTAGAACTTGAACTTAATTAATTAATATTGATTAATTAATTAAGCTTTAACTTTTGTAGATCTTGAACTAATTGAACTTAATTAGACCATGAATATATAACTAATTATTGGATTTGCACTTTATATATAACTAATAACTTTTATAATGCAACTGAAGAAGCTCAACATCTAAAAATGTTGATACAAGACTATATTGCTTCTTTCATCAAAGTTGGAGATAAGGTTGGTGCTTCTAAATTTCTCAAGTTCAAGTACAATTGTTTTGAATAATGTGTTTGTGTCCATCTAGTATTAATACTTAACTTTAATTTTGTGATAATTAATTTGTGTCCATCGAGTGTTTGTTAAGCATAAGTACCAACACTAGTTGATCCTATTGATGACAAAATTGAATTTTTTACAAAATCGATTTGTGTCCATCTAGTGTTGACACTTAGCTTTAAAAAGTTGTTAAGTTGTTAAAGTTATAAAGTTGTTAAGTTGTTTAAATAAGTTAAAATAAATAATGTCGGTTTAGTTAGTGAATTTAGTTGTTGGAATTAAGTCAAAACTAATGTAGTTAAAGTTCAAAAGTTGTTATGTTGTTTAAATAAGTTAAAATAAATAATGTCGGGTTAGTTAGTGAATTTAGTTGTTGGAATTAAGTCAAAACTAATGTAGTTAAAGTTCAAAAGTTGTTATGTTTAAATAAGTTAAAATGAATAATGTCGGGTTTGTTAGTGAATTTAGTTGTTTTGGATTTATGCAAA